AGCCCTGCTGACCCTCTGCTGTGCTCGCCCCAGCCTTGGCCCCTCTCCGGCACCTCCACACCAGGGGCTCACTCCTGCCTGGCCAAAACCAACGCGTCCTTCCTGCAGCTAAACAGTGGCGATCTATTCCAAACCCAGCTATGAATAGCAGGGGCGGGGGGAGCAGGGAGCATGCCGGGTGGAAGGCGCAGAGCTGGGAGGTGGCTGGGCTGGCGGAGGTGGGACATTTGCAATTAAAAGAAAGGTGGCAGCTCAGAAAGCCAGCATGATCGCATCCCCTGGGTAGCTATACCTACTTTGCCTTTTATAAAAAACAAGCCTTGATTGTAAAAAGAATATTGCTACTCTGTCTAGATCAAGGCAGTTTTATGTTAGTGCTATAAGCAGAAAAAGAGGAAGGGGGTGTCTGCTCCAAGCCAGCTCCCCACGAGTGACCCTGTGCTCCTGCCGAGCCCCTCGCAGGTCCTTCCAAACCTCCCTCACGGAGTTTAGATAACCAGGGTAAAAGCTCTTTCCAAGTGGAGGCCTGCTATCTGTGACCCTCACTTTTCATTCTAAATATTTCTTTTCTCCTTCTTCTGCTCTCTTCCTCGTTTATAACCGGTAAAATCACGGTCTGAGAGCAAGAGACGGTGAGACCTGCCCCGCTAGGTCACAGCAACAGCCCCTATGGCACCCAGTGCTGGTAGGCGATGCTATTTGGGGACACGTGGGAGCCTGGCCCCTCTCCTGGCCTCACTGCTGTCTCTCCCTGGCTGCAGGTGCTCTCCACCATGAGGCTGCCCTGGGGTCTCCTCCTGCTGGCAGCAGCCCTGGCGCTGGGGGGCAGGGCTGCCACCCGCTGCCCCGCGCCCTGTGTCTGCGACAATCTCCGTGCCCACGTCCTCTGCCTCAATGGGAACCTGACAGCCATCCCCAGCACCATCCCGCAGGTGGGCAAAGGGATGGGCAGGGGACGGGGGAAAGAAGAGGTGGGGAGGGCAGCTCTGGGGTAACTCAGTGTTTATTTATGTGACTGACAGCTCACCAAAAAACTGGACCTTTGGGGCAACAGCTTCACAGTCATCCCGGTGGGAGCCTTCCTTGCCACCCCCTACCTCACACACTTGGACCTGCAGCGCTGCAAGGTGGAGAGGCTGGAGGAAGGGGCTTTTCGGGGGCTGGGGAGGCTGGTCTACCTCAACCTGGCCTCCAACAGCATAGCCCTCCTCTACCAGGAGTCCCTGGATGGGCTGTCCTCCCTCCAGCAGCTCATCCTGGAGGGGAACCGTATTGAGGAGATCCAGCCAGGTGCTTTTGGGCATCTGGGGTCCCTCACTGTCCTTGACCTGAGGGCGAATGCCTTGGTCTACCTCCCAGACATGGTCTTCCAGGGTCTGCAGGTCCTCAGGTGGCTCCGGCTGTCCCACAATGCCCTCCACGTGCTGAGCAGCGAGGCCTTCACCGCCCTGCCTACCCTGCGCAGGCTGAGCCTGGACCATAATGAGCTGCAGGCACTGCCTGGTGAGGCCCTGGCCAGGCTGGATGGGACCACCCAGCTGGACCTGGGCCACAACCCCATCACCTACATGCCTGAGGAAGCCCTGGCCATGGCCTCCCTGAAGCACCTCTTCCTGGACCATGCTGCCCTCCAGGACGTGGCGCCCAATGCCTTTGCCCGCAGCCCCCAGCTGCGCACGCTGGACCTCCGCGAAAACCAGCTGCGGGGATTGCCACCTCTGGCCGGGATCAGGGGGCTGGTGAGGGTCAGCCTGGCTGGGAACCCCCTGCTCTGCTCCTGCCTCCTGCGCCCCTTTCACCACTGGCTGGTGAGGGCACGGGTGCAGGTGGAAGGGGCCTGCGCTGCACCCCCCACCCTCTGTGGCCGGCCCCTTGACTCCCTGAGGCCCACGGAGATGCGATGCAGCCGGCCCTGGCTGCCTCCCAGCCCTGCTGCACCTTCACAGCAGCCAAAGTTGGCTGGCAGTGGGCAGTGCCCCCAGGGGTGCACCTGCTCCCCTGATTTCCGGCACGGGTCCTGCGAGAACAGGGACCTGCGGGAGATCCCCCGGGGCTTCCCCGGGGACACCCGCCTCCTTGACCTGCGCCGAAACGCCTTTGGGACGGTGCCACCGGGTGCCTTCCCTGGCCTGAAGGAGCTGGTGTCCCTCCACCTGCAGAGCTGCAGCATTGGGGTGCTGCGTCCCGGGGCGCTGCGGGGGCTGGAGAGCCTGGTCTACCTCTACCTCACCGACAACCGTCTCTCCACCTTGGTGGCCACCGCCTTCGAGGGGGCCCCGCGGCTGGCCTACCTTGACCTGGACCGCAATGCCTTCACTCACCTGCCCACGGGTGCCTTCCAGCTCCTGCCCAACCTCATGTCCCTCCACCTGCAGCACAACGCCATCGGGGAGCTGGCGGAGGGCGACCTGGCTGGGGCCAGAGGGCTGCGCTGGCTCTACCTTGCTGGGAATGCCATTGGGCACATCGCCCCTGCTGCCCTGGCTCCTGCCAAGTTGCTGGAGAAGCTGCACCTGGAGGGAAACCGCCTGGTGGAGGTGCCCACCCCAGCCCTGAGGGGCCTGCCTGCCCTGAGCGAGCTGAAGCTCTCCCAAAATCCCATCAAGCGCGTGGGGGACAGTGCCTTCCTGCTGCTTGCCTCCAGCCTGCAGCACCTTTACCTGGACAACATGGGCCTGGAGCAGGTGAGTGTGGTTGGGCAGGGGCACCACGGGGCACTGCCATAGGTCCCATCTCATTCTAGCACCCAGGGCTGGTGGCCCACATGGGGGCATCTGACTGGATGTCCCTGAACTCCCAAGGCTTCAGGAGAGGCTTCCCTGGGCTTGGCTGGAGTGTTGCCTTGCTCCAACCTATTCCCCAGCTCCCCCAGGACAGGCTCGCTCCCCACCTGGTCCTTAAAGGCACCCAGTTTCAGTGGGGTCCAGATCATTCCCCAAGCCAGCCCCTTCCCCCAGCCCTGGCTGTATTTCTCCTGCTGCCACTATGAGCTGTCCTGTGGGACTTTTCATTGCTATTGCCCCAAATTCCTTCATCCTCTAAAGAAAGTGGTGTTAGCACCACTCTCGTAAGGACCATCCACCTTTAACAGGGCCCAGGGATTGCTCTAAAAGACCTCCCGTGCATCACCTTTCCAGGAAGACTGAGCAGGGTCTAGTGAGTGAGTCCCAAAATGTGACTGAAACTGGTTGAGTTAACAGTCCCCAAGCACATGTGCTGCTATTTAAAACAGCTCTTTCACTAGGTCGCCAGGTTGATTAGCAGTGCAGGGGCAGAGGTTTGCTCCCCTGCCTCCATCAGGGTCCCCCTGACTCACCCTCGCTTCGTTGCAGATTTCCCCCAGTGCCTTCACTGGCCTTGGTCCCAAGATCAGAAGCCTCTACCTGGAGAGCAACAAAATGAGCAACATCCCCGACATGAGCAACTTCACGGGGCTGGAGATCCTCAACCTGCGGGATGTGCCTTTCCACTGCGACTGCCAGCTCCTTCCCCTGCGCAGGTGAGTGCCACGGGACCGGCACAGCCCCAGGGGATGATGCTGGGGACAGCCAGCCCCTGCCCTGCCAGAGGCATGAGCCCATGGCACACTGGCCATTTTTGGGGTTTCTCCAATGGCACACTGGCCATTTCATGTCTTCTCCCATGCAACCTGCGGGATGTGCCTTTCCACTGCGACTGCCAGCTCCTTCCCCTGCGCAGGTGAGTGCCACGGGACCGGCACAGCCCCAGGGGATGATGCTGGGGACAGCCAGCCCCTGCCCTGCCAGAGGCATGAGCCCATGGCACACTGGCCATTTTTGGGGTTTCTCCAATGGCACACTGGCCATTTCATGTCTTCTCCCATGGCGGCGAGACGGAGCATGTGCCTATGTGCAAGGATGGAAGTAGCCTGAGCTTTCCT